TTATGTTTTATTCCCATGGCGTAGACATATACAGTGTCTGCAACTAGTTTTGGGAGAGGCTCGTCCCAGGAGCACAGCCCCGGTTTGCATCCCCCATCAATTTGTAATCTCTCCTTGTAGGCTCAGCTCTGTTGACGATGATATAAAAAAAATAATAATAATCATAAAAAAAGAATACATTCTGATATTTCTATATGCATAGGCTAATCACAAACATTACATTGGGCTTTAGAGACATTTCAGGATGAACGTAAAATGGACTATAATCATTACGGGGGCATTTTAAAATCACAAGTGATCCATGAAAATTTCCCTTTTGTTGCTTTCTGTGACTCTTCCAGTCACTCTCTGTTGAGGTGAGGAAGACTTTTGCAGTGATTTAAAATGTAAATTTCAGGCGAATAGCATTATAACAGTGCACCATTGCCAATCAAATATGCACACGAGCATTCACACAAACAACGTTTCTGGGAGTTAATGTAACCGAGACCCAGCCGTCTTGCAGCCTCTTCTAACCCAATCCAGTGCAGTGTTTTCCATACATACATAAATCCTTAATACTTTAGTATATACTTGTAGCTAGAGAGCATTGCACAGGTGCACTCAATGAATGGGGTGGTGGATGACTGCCAAAAGTTGTTTAAAATTTATTGTCTTTTCGTGTCGTGTTCTTGGAATGCAATAAAAACTAATACAGATACAGGACATTATATTGTATTTGGCATCTCCAAACCCCTTACAGGGTTGCAGTTTAGCCATAGCATCAGACCAGTAGATGTGCTGTACTCAATCGCTTGGTGTTGGCAAGCAAATTAGTTTCACACTGAACAAGTCCCACAGAGAAATATATGACTCATATTCTTTTTTTCATTTATGACATGTTTAAATTATTCAAACAAGAGCGATGAGAGTCTTCACTCTCTCTGTAATTTTGTGTAAGCACGCCAACACTAAGTTAAGAGTAAACTAGCAACCAATGTTAGCAAACTTGCCTTTAGAATTGCAGAGGTACGATACGATATAAACTCAAAATAAATAAATAGCATGTGCATTCAAAGGGTCACGCAAGGTTTACCTGTAAAGTTTACGGTTCATCCTGAAATTTCTCCCAAATGCCCATTATCCCAAGAAGTTTGTTTATAGTCTAGATATGAAAATAGCACCAGTACAGACACCAAGTAGCAGAACATTTTGGAGGAATTGAACTGATTTGTTGACACAGGAGGAGCAGAATTGAGGAAATCAGGTGCGGACAGGAGATATGAGTAGTCCACAAAACGTTAAACATCTACTGATAATATACAATTTCCACTCACTGCCTGCCTTTTCCCTGTGACCCTGTTCAGAATTAGTGGTTTTGAAAACGAATGGATGGTTGTCTGCCTATTATGCCGCGCACTCTGACCGGTCCTTACTGTAGTTTGCGTTCTATGGTTGACCAACAAGGGCAAGGCATTCATGCTTCTCCATTTACCTAGAAGTTGAGTTTATCCTGAAAAGTTGAAAACCCAGCTTTATTTAAACTTGAACTTTAAACTTACAGAGCATTGTCATCCAGCAGGGGGCTCACCTGCCTGGTTTATAACAAACTCATCAGCAACTGTGTTGGGGCCTCGACAATCATGTGGCTCATGAGACTGAGGAGGAATAATTTTCAAGTTTAAAACTCAACTTGGTTTGATTTTATAAGTTTGGTGACCATGCTTACCTTGTTTTTTTTTTTTGTTTTTCTTTTGTAATTGGGATTCACATCTGCGGCTTATTCTGACTTCTGTTCCTATTCTTTCATCTGTGCTTTTATTTTGAAAAATGGCAGATATTCAGATATTCTTCATTTGTAGAATATTTATTCATGATAACGTGGGCAGGGAGTCTGAGAATGACGACGAAACATTAGGCGAGTGTCTTTCATCAGCATCTTCCTCCTGGGCCTCCCTCCTCTTCAGCACCGCTGGCATCAGGCTGCACCACCTGCTCCAGGCCTCATTCCGCTCAGGCCAGAATGAACAGCTGGCTGCTCTTCTGACGCTCTGATTGGTTAATCCCTGCTGGTCACTTGTGCCTTCTCCTCCCTGTGTGTCATTGAACTTTCTCTCGCCGAGCGCCAATGCCTTCCTCGATTCTTTGGCCACGCCCGTCCTTCATCTGCCCTGCATACGGCCCAGGTACCATGTGCACTTGCGTACATTATTTAATGTGGTCAAAACTCTGCCAGTCTCATTTCATTCTTACCTTACCAGTAAGAGATCGAACACAAATTAATGCTGAGAATTTTGACCCAACAAAGATCATTAGTAGCTCGGCTAGGATTAGCACCACTTCATCTCACTGGGCAAACTATGGTGCCTGAGGGACATTTTCAATTTTTTTTTTTTTTTTTTTTTTTTTACAGATGGAGATGCAAGCTCATTTTAAAAAAAGAAAAAAAATGTGAGCATCAAATATGTGTAATAGTTTAAAACGACATATCTAATGTATTACACACCAATTATGTACTACAAACAATAACACTGGTGAATAGGTGTTTTTAATTTTTTTAATGAGATATGCAGGTGAACCTTTTCAGATAAATTGTTTTGATTTTGATTGATTCATAATCTGCCCTGATTTTTTTCTCTAGCACATCAGATCTTGTAATAATAATAATAATAAAGTAAATAACTAATATTTAGAAATTAAGGGTTAGAGTCAGCAACAGGTGGAAACGTTTTTCCTGAAATGTCAATTATGAATTACAACGTATGATAAAATACATCTTGCTCAAGCTCTCTTAAAAACATGAAACATCTCAACAACCTGAGGTGATTGAGAAAAGTAAAAACTTTCTTTTTTTTTTTAATCAGCATCAAAAATACATTTAGGGACACACAAAGCCATCTCTGATTTAAAGTTTGCTGTTGACCAGCATAATTTAATGTAGGCCTATAGTACATGTAAATCGTGTAAAATTGCTTTTTTTTTAATTACACTGAAAAAATGTTGAAGTGACTCAATTTTATTTTGTCAAGTGGTTGCACAAAATAAAATCAACTGGATCCAGATCCTTTTTTCAAGTAGTTTCATAGTCAACTTAAAATGTAATTGGCTCCAGATGATTTTATTTCATACAACCACATGACAAAATAAAATTTAATACATAAATAAATAAATCGCCCTAATTTGCATTTGATTATTTGCAATGCATGAATTAAGCTGTTATTTTGGAAAATATTTCACACAAAATGTTAAAAGTACACTTAATGTAAAATGTTTTTCTAATTCTTGGCAATAAAAATGTAATAACTAAACAGTGAATCAATCAAATCCAACAACAAATATTAGAGGAGTTTTGAAAATCTAAATGCTCATTGGACGGATTAAAGAACAAAGCGGGTCATATGCAGCCCCCAGGCCATACTTTTACCAATCCCTGCTTTTCAGGTTAGGTGCCGCTCACAGACTCCATGACTGCAGCTCTGTGCTTACATGTTAAAAATGATGATTGCGGTTTGCTTTAGTTAAATCTAATATCCAGTCCTGGTGATGTGTTCAGAAAGCATTTTGACAACACGAGCGTATCACTGTCATTGAGCGCCACGCAGCCATATGCCCGGCCCAGATTGGCGGTTTGTTTTGGACAGCTGAGCTGTAATGATTCACTGCAGGGCTTCGTGGAGACCAGAGCTAAGTGTACATTTAGCCTGAGGCCATAGCGCTGCCTGCACACACGCTCTCAGTGCCTCCATTGACTGCTTTACATTAAAAACAACCTCACACATGGCCGTGTTCTAATCATTGTGACCCCATCATTTTCCTTTTCAGCAATGCAACATTGCGTGAGTGTGTGTGTGTGTGTGTGGTGGTGTCTGTAAGTGGCCCAACCCAGCAAGGAGAGCCCCTGCCCCTGCATTGTTAGGTGGTTGCGTTTGACAGCGGGTGCGGGGGGGGGGGGGGTGTGAAGGAGCAAGGGTTACATTTTGCAGCCCAAGTTTTTAATGACGTCGGGTCATGCATAACAGAGACAGTAATATAGCAATGTAAATATTTACTTACAGTGAGCAGTTATATACGTAATGTCTTAGATGCAGGGTCGCAAGGGAAGAGCAGAAACAGTTGTTTTCTTGTTGAACTCGTCAGAAAATGAAGTGCACCAAAAATCAATCCTGTTCACGTACGCTGAGCTTAATTGCAATTAGAAGCGGGCCTCTACTAATAGTGCCAGACGGTATTGATCAGTACATGTAAAAGCAGACTGGATCACTTTCAGCAAGTATTGCAGAATGACAGAACCACTTCACAGCGATGGCTCTTAATCGGTCCGTTTTTCTCTCGGCTGTGGGACCATTTCTGTCTCCGTCTCGCCCACTCAGTACTTCACTTTTGCCATGAGCGTCGCTCCCGGAATCACACCCATCCTGACCTTTGACCTCCTTTTCAGCTAGAGAGCAAGTCAGAAAGATGCGTATGTAGCGGACGGTCAGTTAATTTATCGATGCACCTCCCTCCAGCCGCGCTGAACTGGCTGACTCGCTACTTCCAACGCTCGTCCCTTTTCGGCTATGTCACATATCAAATTCAACAGCTAATCAACATTTAGCCCCC